TATGTGACTTATGTATTGATTTTATTAATCCTCCAAAATATTGTTTTGGTTTTTGTTCGTTGTCTAGGAAAATAGAAAGAAATTAAATTTTGTCCTTTTAAAAGTAATAGAAATATCAAAAATTCTATGCAGCCATCGGATGACTCCCTTATTGAGTCATCCATAATTTTATATACTGACACATGTCCAATGTGTATTTAATGCAGGACACGTGTCAATACACCATTTGTGAATAACTATAGATGAATCCGTCAGCCGAGCAATCAGATAGCTTCATAGCAAAACTGATAGAAATATATTGTCCTTTCTGAGAGTACTAGTACGTGGCTCGTGGGATATACGAGGAAATAATATTACAATTGTGCATAAGTTAAATATATAAATAACATTAGTTATAATTCACCTGTTGGTCCGACCAAATAGACTAAGAACCGGTTTATCGACCAGTCCGATTTAGTTAAATATTATATTTGCTTGCGAACCGGTCAACACCAGTCGGTGAACTGGTAAAAATAGTACGATTTTTTAAATATATTGTTATATATTTTTATCGTCGAATTTGAAAGTTTGGCCATTATTTTTTTGCATCAAAATTTTATTTATGTGATACGATTTATTCTTTCAAAATTTTAGATATTTATGTTAATAATGATATTGGTCATAGGTTGTTGTTAAGGTTTATTTCCAAAATATATTAAAGAAAAAATGCAGGTACATCTTATACAATTTTTAATTCTGAACCGAGATGTGCTTTCTAAAAAATATTGATACCTCTTAATAAGATCATATAAATTCTAAAATAATGTGTGCATTATTTTTGCATCTATTTTTTATTTCTGTAATGTTGAGTTATTATCACGAAATTCACGAAAATTTATCTTGATATTGCAATCGGCTCAAATTAATCTATATGTTGATATGGTTTGTTTACAAACAATTTTAAAGATACCAATCTTGTACAATTTACATATTTTTTTTAACTTTAACAGAGATGCGTTCATATTGAAAATAAATAAATAAAAAGTGCACAAATGTTTGTAAAATTAGAGCACAAATCTTTTTTAAATAGCGAAAAAATTTGTAAAATATGAAATGTATTTAATTCAATATTAATCAAAACAAAATACAAAAATATTTCAAAATAATTAGTATTCTCAAATGGGTTTGAAAAAAAAATCCATGGATATTTGTAGATTTGGAGCACGAATCTTTTTAAAATTGATCTACAGATCCAATATGTAAAATATTATGAGATCTTCTTAAAGTTGATCTAAATATTAAAAGATGGAATGTATTTGATTCCATATTAACTAAAATAAAATACAAAAATATTTTCGAAATAATTAAAATGGTGTTTTGGAGTCAGTTTGGAAAATTTTTAAAAAAAAGTGAATGGATATTTGAATAAATACAAGGCGAAACCAAAAAAATAGTTGAGAGGGGCAAAAGACATGACATAATGGGTTCAGAGTCGATAGCAAACCTATAACATTTCAGTAACCAATTTTCGGTTACCGTTACACATAAGTCAGTTCAGTTCAGTTTATTTTCTCATCGGTTCAGTTCGGTTCGATTTTCGATTTCGGTCAAAAAATATCAACCCTAGCCTGGGCAATAAAAGAAAGTTGAAGTCTTTTATATGGACAAATTAAAATTGTAGAAAAATAATAATTAATATATAAAATTAGTAGTAAAATAAAAGAAGTGTTAAATTGTTAATTGATAATTATGGACAAGTTGGTCTGACGAGTGACGTTTAAAAACAAAAATATGGGGTGCAACAATAAATTTAAAGAGAGAGCAAATTAAAGTTTTTAATATTAATAGTAAAAAAAATTAAAATTTGAGTGGAGGCAATTGCCCCCTATTAATCCATCTAAATTCGTCCGTGAATAAATAGATCACGTAGCTTTATAAAATAGCTCTAAATATCTCACGTGTAAAATAAAAAATGTAGTTGAGTACATATTAAATAAAACAAATCTACCAAAAATAATTAAAAAAGCTTTAGTAAATCGATTTGAAAAAAATATGGAAAGATTTTTCTTAAATGGCAAGTCAACAAATTTGACCCAAAAATTAATTAAACTTTCCACCAATGAATTTCCCATCAACCTCTTTCAATTATATAAATTAGAAATAAATGTTTTGTATATAGGTAATAACATATGTGTTATTTGTGGTGCTTCCTATATGTTAAATTTTGTGCTGACAGAAGTCCATTTAGTTTGAAATCCATGCCTATTTGAACTTTTAAAATTATAAAACACTTTATCAAGTTAAACAATAAAGTTGTTTCAAAATTTCATAAATTTTTTTATTTGCTATCGATTGTTATCATATGATTTATCAAATTACGCATGTTTGGAGAGTTTCAATTTGATATTCATATTGCATATATAAACACTTTTATATTTATTTTTATACATAAAAATTAAATCATATAATATATCCTAATAGAAAAATAAAAAAAAAAACATCAGTTATAAATTAAATTTATTTACCAAGCCCTCTAACATGACATAAGGTTAAAAAAATATAATAAAATGGAACAAAGAAATCTTATAGGTGATGAGAGTCATTTTAAATAGAAAAAAAGAAGTCAATTTTTAAAGACTAAATTAAAATTTAGATAAAAACTTTTGTTTTAGTTAATACCCACGGAATACAAGTATTTGTATCACTTCATTATTCAAGTTGGACAAGTGTTCAATTATCTCTCCAAACTGAGTTGGCTCTGGGTCAACCAGGTGGTCCGGTCAAACAAGACGTGTCCCGATGGATTTCGAAACAATACTTTTTAGTAGAAAATAAATTAGGGGTGGTCATAAAAATTGACTTGTTTCTGTACCCAATTTTATGTATTTTCATCCGGATCCGAAATGCTTGTCCCGTTTTAATATATTGACATGAAATATTCACTATATCTATGTTTGTAAAGAATCCAACGATAATATATTTCAATAAAAATTTTAGTAAATATTCCAATTGTATATATTTCAATAAAAATTTCAATAGATATTTCAATTGTATACATTTAAGATTAAATTACTCAATTAGAAACATAAAGCAACAACTAAAATGTCTGCAGACCAATATCGTTCCAATTATCATAATCAACAACAAAAATGTCTGCAGACCAATATCGTTCCAATTATCATAATCAACAACAAACTTTGTCATCTTTTCATTTGATGATATGAAATTTGGATATATAAATTTAGTTCATAACTCATTTGATGTAACCATCCCAAGCGGTTATAAGAAAAATTAGTTTTGTACCTATTTTATGATTTTATTTTTCGTAAGTGGAAGATTCTTAAAATCATTTTAAGGTGAATGAGAAATCAATTCTAAGTTGTATATGTGGGAAATATAATGTAAAAGTATTCAAGTTTAAGTAACTCAAATCATTGGATTCATAAAATATTATGTCTTTGACGAATGTTAGGATAATCCCAACGAGACTTGATCATGCAACTTGCATGCTATAACTGGAGAAGGGTTCGTTGGGAACGAATAGGAGAAAACGAAACTCGATTTCTATTCCAAATGGGCTTGTACGAGCTCGCGGCGCACAAACGCGCAGTTGACCGTGGCCCTTGGTGCTCATAAGGTGTCTTTTGGTCCCTAAATGCGTTTGTTCTCATTCGGGTACGTCCCATAAGATGTCTTTTGACATATAAACCTCTTGGAGCTGTATTTCTACATCTATAAATACCCTTATACATGAAATCATTCATGACTTGAAAACAAAGAGCTCTCTCGTGCATTACATCTTCAGAGTTCATAAAGAATATTTTTTTCTTTGATTTGAGAAGTTTCAAACAATAGTATTGTTAATCGAAGGCTTGTATATTTGAAATACTGTTATATACAAGTCGAAAATCGTTGTATCTTGTAGGCATTTGCCATTAGCCGTGGGTATTTTACGAGACAATTTCGTGTTAAGAAGAACGTAACTATTACGTGCCTTAACTTTGATTTTGTTTTTGTTTTCTCCATTCTCTTAAAGCCATCTTCTTCATATTCATAAACCACAAAAACTACATTGATTTGGGCAATATTGAATTGATATTTGAAGAACATTTCTCGGGTTAATTTGTTTGTTTTCTTTTTTTACTTTTGACCTAAAATGTAGTTACCCTTTTTGTCCTGAATCAATATGGTTCCAAAATTATATGTTGCCCGACTTGCCAACCCAAATTAATGAAGGTCTATTCGGGATAGTATTTCATATCAGAATTAGTATTTTTAGAACTACTCATTGAAAGGGGATAGGTTGATGGATATATGATAAATCAATTCTCAGACCGTCTCGAAACGTGCCAATGTCTAAGGAAAGAAAGAAACAACGTAGCAGTTGATGTTCGTTAGAGGTAATTAAGTGTAATTATTAGTTTTAAGAATTGGTTATGCAGCAAGTACATTTCACATGAATGTACAGTTAGATTGAGAAGGATGGGTGATATTTTTGGGAACAATTTAACACTTGCTTTCTAGATGTTGGGGAATAAATTTGATAAAACAGCTCGCCATCAAATGCCCAAAACTTAGCCGGGCAATCGAATCATCAAAATCGCATTTAAGGAATTTGTTTGCTTTCGGAACAAATTCTGATGATGGAAAGTCAACACACGGAAAGTAAGTCCATTTTAGGAAAGATTTAAATCAAGATTAGCTACTCTTTAAAGAGGATTTGGCCTAGGTTGGGTGATGGACAATGCGTTGTATTTGATAATTTTGATTGATTGGATAATTTTAAGTGAGTTCAGACTAATTAAGATTGATAAAAGTTGATAGGATGAAAAAATTAATTAATTTTGTATTTGTAAATGGATATGATGAAATAAAATATAATGATTTAAAGTCGATGTGATATAAAAATAAAAAAAATATAATGATGAACGGTTAGTGATTAAAAATATGTTAGCAGATGAATAATAAAAATTGTTGGAAAATGTCTAGCGATTATTGATTGATATAAGTTGATCATATTGATAATATTAGTTGAGAAGAGTTAAATGCGTTGTATTAGATGAATAATGGATTTTAAGTTAAAAATTTGTATTCAACTGTAGTTTTGTCAAAAAAAAGTTNTTATATTGCATACACGTTAGAACATGGGGTTGCAAATAAGTAAAGATATTAGATACTTGAGATCGATTCAAAGCAGGCTCATCCAGCTTTGAGCTTGTTAATTCTTGAAATAGACTTCATTTTTCCAAATGGGCCAAGCTTGCGCTCCTACTTGAGAGCTTTAGCAAAGCTTGTGTATGGACTTTTTTAAAAGGTCGTGAACAAGCTGTTTTGTTAGACCCTCATAAAAGCTCAAACAATATATATGACGTGCTGGAGATTTAGATCTAGGTTGAACCGGCTGATATTAAGCTTGAATCGTCTTGAGTTGCCAACAACATGCAAAATAATTGTTGGGGAGGTTCCTTGCTTGAGCCCGTTGACCACGAGTCCAGGCCCAACTCGGACTGAGTCAGGGCCCAACCCCTGTTTTGGCCACCCCTAGCCACCCAATGCATTTTGCATAGTGCTTCACGCCTTCTTCCCATATGGGTTCATTCATTCATCTTTGCACTGCCCACTTTGAACCTTCCTTTTCATGGTCTATTTGCGTTGTGCCTCCTTGAGTGTATGCTGACTTATTAAGGCCCAGTTTTGAAAAGACCGGCCCATTTAGTGGATACGTTTTTTTCAAACCCAACCTGAAATTTTAAACCCAAACTCATATTCCTCCCTCACTTTCTGAATCACCATTATTCCTCCCTCGTACACTCGTAAATGTACACTAACACGAATCACCTGAAAAATCAATCAGTTCTTGCATTCAATTCCAAAATCGCTACAAACTCATTCATCTGCATCCTCTTACCAATATAGAATTTTATTTTTCTTAGCTAGAAACTGCATATCAAATTTTTACATATCCTGCACTCGAGGTGTTCGACATATTGCCCATGAGAAAAGCCCTCACTCAGATAAAACCAAATGGGGCCCACAAATCCGCATGTTTCGATGCATTATCACCTCACAGGACCACGCAAATCGCCCACAAGCACAAATCAACCATCGGCCGAAAACCGAAGCAGAAAATCTACCACCGCGTGCCGGAACTCGACAAGGTCATGGAGCTCCGTAAAAAACCCACATTAATCCTCAACCTTATCTCCATAATCCAATCCCGCCAGAAAAACGGGTCCCTTCTCCTCCTCCGGGACCTCGAGAAAGAAGTCGGGTTCATCGAGAAATGGAATTACATGGCCACAATCGAAAAATACCCCACCATTTTCCGAGTCATCGGTGGCCAGGCCGAAAAATTGCCGCCGGCAGTTACTTTAACCGAAACAGCCAAAAAGATTGCAGCTTTAGAACCCGAAGCTCGATTTCAAATGGAGCCCGTTTTGGTTAAGAACCTACAAAAGCTGTTGATGCTATCAGTCGACTGTCGGCTGCCTCTCGAAACTATCGAGCTGGTGGCCCACGAGCTGGGACTTCCCGAGGATTTCAAGAACTCGATTATTTTAAAATACCCTCGATTTTTCAAATTGGATAAAGTAGACGAAAGGGAGCATTTGTGTTTGGAAAATTGGGATTCGTCGCTTGCCGTCACAGCTCGTGAGGAGAAACTGGCATTTGAAGCGGTCCCATTAATCGGGCCTTCTCGTCGGGCCAAAATGCAAAAAGATGGGAACTTTTCGGGCCCGTTTGCTTTTCGCCTGAATTTCCCGACTGGTTTTAGACCGAACGCGAGTTATTTGGAGGAAGTTCGAAAATGGCAAAAGCTGGACTTCCCATCACCATACTTAAATGCAAGGATGTTCGAGCAAGCCGACCCTAAGGCTCGGAAAAGAGCGGTGGCAGTGCTTCACGAGCTTCTGAGTTTGACCGTGGATAAAAGGTTGACTTCTGGTCAACTGGATGCGTTTCACAAAGAGTTTCGATTGCCTGCTAGGCTTCTGCTCTGTCTGATCAAGCATCACGGGATTTTTTACATCACGAATAAAGGCGTGAGGAGTAGCGTGTTCTTGAAGGAGGGTTATGAAGGGTCGGATATGGTGGATAAGTGTGCTCTGGTGGAGTTCAGGGAGAAGTTTATGGGTTTGATGGGGAGGAAGAGTTGAATCTCCATGTTTTTCTGAGCATGTTTCGTGCATGTGTGTGATGAGCCTGTGGTGTTTTGGTGAAGCTTTGATTGTTTGAATGTGTGTGTGTGGAGTTCAAAGGGCAAATCACAATGGAGAATTGAAGACTAGTTGATTGTGTTGGATTTATCATTCAGTCTCAGATTGGATACAGAAAATGTTTCAATCAATAATTATTATTATTATTAACAAAAATATTATTCGTTTTCAATTATATATTTCAAACTATCAATATTATCAATTAATATTTTATTATTTTTATATCACATCAACTTTAACTATTATTTTCTTTTTTTTTTCTCTCACATCCATTGAGAAGCATAACGCATCTACAATGCATTGGGTCTAGTCCTGCCTATGTGACATCTAAATAAACTCAATCTTTGATGACATGAATAAAACTATGTAAAATTAACAAAATTCACTCCAATGCAAATAGACTAAGTCTCTACTTAGGTCTAAAATAGACTTACGGGTAGATCGAGTCTCTTTTTTTTATTTTTGACTGCCACGTCAGCTGTACCTAGTCTATTTTTATTTGTATTGGAGAATATATTTTTTTAGATTAGATTTATTTTTTAGGTGCATATAATTTTTTATGATTGAACCCAAAACATTGTGGATGCTCAGGTTAATCTCACTTTTTCTAGATGTAAAATTCTCGACTTTNGGTGAAACGGTTCAGTAGAAATTTTAGTCAACTTTTATATAAATTAATTTTTACGAAACACCTCAAAATGGTACACCCTTCGGAGTTTTAGTTAATATTTATTTGTAGGATGGATTAGTCTTTATGCATATAAGATGGTGCATAGTTTGACTTCAAATTAATGTATGATAATTTGTGTTTGTATAATACTCCCTCCATTTTGAAATATAAGGCGTATATAGATTTCTCATTTTTTTTGAAATATAAGGCGCGCTCAAAAATCAAGACAAATTTTTGCATTTTTTTCCAAATATACCCTCATTGTGTTGAAATTAAGGAAGTGTGGAGTGGTTGTGATTAGAGTAAATAAGGTTAATTTAGTCTATTTATTCATTAATTAATGTCTCCTTAATATTTGTGCAATAACCTTAAATGCCTTATATTTCAAAATAGAGGGAGTACCATTTTTAATTTATAAGTTACTGGCCAAAACATGTACTAGTGACGGTAATGACTAGTAGATTGTGTGAGGTATTTTAAATCATTTCATTCATTCCATTTTTTCAAAATAACACCATAGCATAAAATAATAACTCATAGTTTTCAGTACAGCTAATTAATTGCGCGAGATTGTGTAATTATATCTGCAAACAATCATAAAGTATAAATAATGCAAAATAATCAATAATACACTCACTTTTTTTTGTCTTGTTCCGGGGTTGGAGGGAAAACGCGAAGGCAACTTTCAAACTAACCGCATTATTCTAATCTACGCATTTTCTCCTCCGCCATTTCCATTTTCTCCAAATCTTCCAAATTACAGGCAAACACACGCACACAAAAACACGAACACGCAGATAGGATTATATTATTAAATTAATCAAAAGGAGAGAATCTCAATCACTAATTCTCCCGAAAATCTCTGTATTGGAAAGTAGAAACTCCAAAATCCCTATTCGGCGTTAGGGCATCTGCGTTCGGCGCATGGCAGGCGGCGGCGGTGATGCGAACAGGACCGGGCCGGGATTCGATCTTCCCGACGAGATACTGTCCGTGATGCCGGCGGACCCCTTCGACCAACTGGATCTGGCGCGTAGGATCACGTCCATGGCTATCGCGTCGCGGGTAACGAATCTGGAGTCGGAGGCGGGGGGCCTCCGACAGAAGCTTCTGGAGAAGGACCTCTACAGTCGGGAGCTCGAGGAAAAGGTGTCGCTGCTCGAGGCGGCGTGTCAGGACGCGGAATCACGGCTGAAGATCGCACAGGATGATAATGTCGGTCGCTTGAATCTTAATTGTTCTTAGCAAAATTTTATTTCATTTTATTTATGTATTTATTTATTTATTATTCTTTTTTCGTATTTGTGAATGGTGAATTGTTGCAGATTAAACTTTTGAAGGAGAGAGATTCTTTCGCGTCAACGGCAAAGAAGCTGAGCCGTGATTTAGCCAAGGTACTTGTAATGACATGAAACTATTGAGGGCCTTTTTTAATTTTGAATCAGTTTTTTTTCGTTGAACTAGGATCATCCTATATATTTTAGCATTTAAATTTGTGGTTTAAAAATGGTCATTTACATCGGCTGAAGAGGTCGTATGGTTGAAATTCGAGGTACAGAGTACTAATGTTTCAATGTCTTTGTGTGCACACGGACAGGAGAACAACATATATTGTGGCTAGCAATGTTTTTAATTTAATTTCTTATTGCTTTTGCTACTTGTGAGGTTTGTTTATTTCAATTTCATGTTAAACTGAGACAATGTGATATGGAGAACTTCTTGCTCAATTATCTCGAGTTCAAAACGCCAGCATGTGTAGTTTCTAGGTCTTTTGGTTTTTTTCTGTAGGTGAATTTGAAGTTTTTTGCCCTGTTTGTTTGGCAGTTGGAGGCTTTTAAGAGGCAATTGATGCAGTCACTAAATGATGAAAACTCTCCAGTATGGCCACCTTTGCTGCTTTCCCTTGATTGTTTGAATTTTGATATCTTTCCTTTGAAGCATTTATGTGTTAATGAAATTTGAATTCTCTTTTCCGTGTCTTAAAATCTGATCTAACCTTTAATATTTACCGACACCAGCAAGCAGAAACTGTGGACATTGGCATTTACGACAAATCGGCCTCCAAGGGACATCCGAAAACTGGTATTTCTTGAAAATCACTAGTTACCGTTTCACACAAGCAGTAGTGGCCATCTAGCCTGCTTATATTCTCGAGTTTACGGATTATTCTAGGGGAGGAGCCTAACAGCTATAGATCACAGTATTCCAGTAACTACTCTATCGACAGCGCAAACATAAACGACGACGGTATTCCAAAACCCATTTTTTTTACCATATTGGGATTTTGTAAATAAAGAATGTAAATGAATTTATCAATTTTTTTTTTTCTAGCCTCTAAACAAGCTGGGCAAGGACTCATTTTGACACCATTCAGAAAATCAGGACTTACCCCAACTGGAACCCCAAAATCAATAACCAGTGTTTCCCCTAGATGGTACTCGGCTGCTGGGTCACCTCAGAGAAACTCGGGCCATGCTTCGCCCAGGACTCGATTTGATGGGTGGGATGGGTCAATCTCTTCTTACCTTCCATCGAGCCAGCAGTCATCCACGGCTAATTCTCCCCCCAGAGAACGCTCCTGTAATATTTTCTTTAGACGTTTATCGAATGCATGTTCTGTGTTTCTCAGTTGAGAAATAATCTTTATCAGTTCATTGACTTTTTGCCTTTATGACCTGTATACTGGCTGAATTTGTGTAGCAAGAACTAGAATTGATGGGAAGGAGTTTTTTCGTCAGGCCAGGTGGGTGTGTCATTTACATCTTGATCGAACTTTACGTTATGAGTGTCTTGTATTTATGTTTTGTTGAATACATAGGAGTCGTTTATCGCTCGAGCAATTTAGCGCATTTCTCACCAACATAAAGGAATTCAACGCGCAAATGCAATCTCGAGAGGTAATTTTCTTGGTGATGATGACACTCTTTATATTAATGAATTTCAGAAGAATAGGCTTTCAATATATTAATTGTTACTTTGCCCTCTGTATTTTGTTATTTCAGGAGACGCTGAGAAAAGCAGAAGAGATTTTCGGAACAGATAATAAGGATCTCTACGTTTCATTTCAAGGGTTGCTTGTTCGCAGCACACACTAAAAAGAGCCCAAATGTGATGATCTCGAGTTTGAGTCACCCAAGGGGGTAAGTGGAGAACCACTCTTGATCCTCTTATTTAAAAAAAAATGAAAAAAAAAAAAGAAGATTTCTTGCCTTCGATTTTATGTAAAGGTTCGTGTAAATAACAGTGTTTTTCTTTAAATATGTGTCACTAATCACCTGCCACAAATTCTGCATTGCTACAAATCTAATTTGCAGCACTTGAATAAATGAAAAGTCTTACATTAGTGTTGTTCTAGCAGTTTCTGTCTTAATTTACATTTTCCCCGAGTGTTACCACTGTTTTACCTCAAATAAGCAAGCAGTTACTTTTTTTACCGGCATGTAGATTGAGAAACATAGAATTTGATCTCTAACCCCATTGCAAGGGAGCATAAAACTATATTTGTGGATGAAAAGACTGGAAAATCCATGAGTTGATCCATTTCCTGGCCTAACAAAGGTAAACCTTACTAAGAAAACACTTGAGAGAGAATCGTGAAGGAGAAGGAGAAAAAAAGGTGTTTGAATTCTCTAGCAATTTTATACTGGCTTAACATGAATCTACAGGCAACATGAGGGAACATGATCTTGTTCCCACTCCATAAATGGATTTTGCAGTCAATCAAAGATTATTATTGGTCACGTTTTTTCCTTTCTCTCTTTTATTTCTGGAATCATATTTCACTTCACATTCATGTCATGCTCTATCTTGACTTTGAAGATTGGAATTTATAACTCATTTGCATATTGAAATGCACATCAATTGAGACTGTCTGTGTTCATTCTGTCTCAAATGTGTTTTGCTCTGCTTGATGAGTTCTTTGTCTATAGTCCATTTAATCGTTTACCAGCACTTTAAGTGTTTTTAAGCCATATTTTTCGATGGGATAGCTAAGAAGCTTCAGGGGTACCTGATACAAGGCTGGTGTACTATATTCTTTGATTCTCTCTTTACCTCAGATGTTAAGAGAATGTATTTTTGCAGAAAATAGCTAACAGAAAAAGGGAGAGAGAAAAAAGAAGGCACAACATTTCAGACTTAAAGTGGTGACTATATTCCTGATACAACTAGGTCATAGAATAACAGTAAAACTACTATTAGGCAGGTCTAACGTTAGACAACCATATTTTCTTAATAGATATCCTTATTTTTGAACTACATTCTCATACTCTACAATATAAAATGAAGAAAAGTCTGGCATGTGCATTCTTATTTAAAGGATCAACTTGTCTAACAATTAGGCCGCCTCATGCAAGAATTTGTGATATGAGATTATTTGAGTTTACCCATCTACTTTCATTCTATTGTTTATATTGTTTGCTTAGCCACAGTTAATGTTCTCATAGTAATTATTCCTTATTAATTTTGCACAGAAATTAATTTCCTATACTTTGAAAAAGAATAAAAAAAATGGAATACGGGTCGAACCGAAACCGATTTGTGTATATCTATATTCTGAAAAATCTTGCCCTATATATTTCATAGGTCGGATCTTTCATGGACCTTAAAGCAGACAGCTTTAAACAGTGAGAGATCATGGCACGTGATGATATATATGAAAGGCTCTTTATATTCGCCTGCTCAATTGGCCACCTTTCATTTTTCCACTCTTTTTTCATCTTCTAATAGTTTTTTATTTTTTTAGTTTTCTAAATTTCGAAATATTTACGATACACAAATGATAATGTGAGGTGACTAAATTATACTTATTGAACCGGAAAAAGCTATTTGTACAACTTTTTTGTACAACATTCAATGACAACATGACGTGACATGATGTGGGTGGTTGAGATGCAAATAAATATGTATGATTGAGATTTGAGTTAATGATACTTTTTAATTAAGTTATCAACCAATGTTGTAAACTACAATTATACATATAGCATTGTTCGATGAAAATTACTTTAAATTGTCATTTTCATGAAAACGATCAAATTCGTTTACATCATATGTTTTAGAAAGACCAAAAACTGCGACAACACTAGAATTTTATGCGTGACTAAAAAATTATGCTTAGCCAAAAAAAGGTTCGGAAAAACAGAACTAATACTTCCAGAGTTCCAGTTGATCAAGACTTTACCTACATTATCAGTACGATAATAAAAACCCAAATCAGGACAAAGCAAGAAAACAAAGGGGGCCACCCCACCACCCACAATATTACACCTTATATAATAATCTCCACATGCTACAAATAGTTCACAGCACCAAAATATAACATAAACTTCCTTCACATAATAACATATATAAAAAAAAAAAAGACCATTAAAAAAATAACAAGAAGGTCCATGAATAATCCTTCAATTCCTCTTCAACAGCTTTCCGATTATTACACTCTCGCCCCACAAAGTTTCGACTTCCCAAATACGACCACATTAGTTCAAGACTGCATGGCCGTGCCTTCATTATCCGAACGGGACTCGGTTTTTCGTGATTTCAGTTATGCAAATCAGGTTTTCGAGCATGGAGAACAAGAAATCAGCAGTGGATTATTAGTCCAACCTAATCACTTTTGGTCTGCTCATCAATCTCAAGTAGCTCCTGACAATTGGGTACCGACATGTATTATTATTATTATTATTATTATTATTATTATTATTATTATTATTATTTCATTCCATTTTAATTAATTTGTTACAATGATATGTGAATAATATACTTTTCTTGCTAATTAATTATTGGCATATAATCTTTTAACTTCTTAGGGATTACAAAGCCAACAAGGAGTAGTACCAAATGTTGAGTGTCATGAACATGATGAGGTAAAAGTAATCGGTCGATATTCGGCTGAAGAAAGAAAACGGAGAATTCTAAGGTACTTAAAGAAAAGAAATCAGAGGAACTTTAACAAGACCATAAAGGTATACTAATTTTTTTTTTTTTGCTAACACATTTGTTGATTGAGCTATAAATATTAAATTGTAATAGTAACTGAATGCGGTTTTTTATATTAATTGCAGTACGAATGTCGCAAAACCCTAGCAGATAAACGTGTTAGAATCCGAGGAAGATTTGCTAAGAACAATGAACAGAACGAAACTTTTGTAGGGACAGCTGGCGGCCAATGTTTCGAACGAAGTTTTCCGTTTCTTGATGATGAATCGATATTGGAGCCGCAGGTAATCAATATTTATCATGTGTGATTATTTTTTTATTACTATTTTTTTTAATTTTGCAGGCCCTTGATTGCGATTAATTGTCGTTTAATAGAAAGGTTATTGGATTAATGGTGTTTTTTAGCAGATTATATGCGGCGATGATGATGATTGGCTGCAAGCTGCCATGGCTAGTCTCTTGAATCTGCCTTATCCAGTTGGTTGAGTTTTGAACCGATTTAGTAATGTGTCCTTTTTTTTTTTTTTTTANATTGTTAATTTGGATGTTATTGTTTTTGTGCTCTTGTTTCAAGAAGATTAAATGTAATTTTGAAAATATATATGGATATTTATGCAGCTTATGGATCCATTGGAAATTCTCAAACTTCAAATTTTATTATATTTATAGCTGTCTCTCTTTCTTTATTATTTATTTTTTCAAGCATCATATATTACATGCATTGAAAATTAAAATAAGCATCATATGTTACATGCATTGAAAATCCTAAATTATTTAGAATTTTAAAATTCCCGAGATATATGAATTTCCTAACAAGTATATATTACTGACACATACAATTTTGAAGCACTAAATACGGACACTATATAGGAAATTGTTCAATTCAAAACTACATAATTTCGTTACGAACATCATTCATATTTGTGCATATTAGTTGGATATTTTGAACTATGGGGAGTTTGTATGTTTATTTATGAAATTATTTTAAATATCGGATAAGGTATGAAAAACAATAACACCGATATCTTATTTATTGTATCTTCAACTTTAAAATGTCCAGTGGTTTTAAATATAAATTAATGTGTATAAATATAATTATTTCTAACTTTATTAAATAAAATAGATATTTTATTATTTTTATATATGGTAGTTATTTATATTTTTTTGTTTCAATATTATAATAACATTCAGTTCTTTGTATACTTTGGTTTAGTCGAAATATAGTTTTTAGAACTTTTTTTTTTCCATTTTTACGTTCATACTTGAATTCTCACATTTTTTTTCTAGATCTACAAGAAAATACAGTATAACAAAAAAAATGTGTATATTGATATAAATAATTTTATTATTTTATAATATAGTTTATTACTTGATGTACTTTTTAATTTGATTTGGTAATAAAATGTAAATTTTTATTTCTAGCTATAGATGAAATTATTTTTTATCAATAGTTGTTCGTGTATTTATGGTTTATATACGGATTAAAAGTAGATTGTATATATGTGGACATATGGATGGTCCAGATTTAATCATATTTTCGGTATATTTATGGTTTATATACGAATTAAAAGTAGATTGTATGTGGACATATGAACGGTCCAGATTTAATTTTATTTTCTCTATTAAGACTAGAATTCGTGATATAATATGAATTACATGTAGACTATATGTGAATATATATGGATAGTCCTGATTTAATCTTATTTCCTATAAGGCTAGGGTTGTAAACAAGTCGATTTGAACTTCAATTCTTGATACTCGAACTAGAGTTCAAGCTTTAACGGGATCGAGCCGTTAACTAATTGAACTGACGATTTCGTTTATTAAATTGAACTAGCCAAGCTGAGATAATAATTCAAAAAATTAATAAAATTCTCTATTTTTTAGTCTTAATAAAATAAACTGAGCTTGGTTGTTAGCACCAACCTCAACCTATTGAGCTAGGTGTAGAGATCGAAATTTTAATATTTTATTAATTAATATCTTTATTTATTTTTTGGACATAAATCCATGATAAATAAGATATATAATTAATAATGTTATTATTTCTTGTCCACCAAGTCAAATCTTAAGATTAGGAAAGAGATTATATCAAATCCTAGGATAAGAAAAGAGATTATATCAAATCAAGAAGGACCAATCAAATTGATGTCTTCTTCTCCAAGACTCTCTCTCTCCTAAACCTATAAATAGAACTCTCCTAAAGTCACAAATCATACCACACTTCAAAAAATCAAAATCTCAAATTCAAGAAATCTCAAG